AGCATGGTGCTTCTTGTGTAATGAATATTTGTCAATTTAAACCATATCATGAGCTTCGTTGATCCATCCACATTAACCAAATGTTCATTATAGATTAATCCTACAAGAAGAGGTTACAAAAGGGAAGAAAACTCTCCTCTCAATGAGAAGACAAATACAATATTTCTTCAAGTAATCATTAGTATAGATTTCGTGACCTTGAAAAATTGTTTCACTTCTCTGGGTCTCAGTTCCCTTAGCTGTAAAATTAGGGGTTTGCACTAGCAGATCTCTACATACTTTTTCTGATTCTAAAGTCTACAATCCTGTGGCTTTTAAAGGGCATTTAGGGCATGCTGCCAACTAAAGATCTGCCCCCTCCCTCAAATACTTAGTAATAAGGGAGGTGGGAAATAAAAAAAAAGGATTTTCTTGTATTAAATGTGTGTGTGTATCTTGTTTGTACAGATTTGCTTGCTTGCTATCTCCCTCATTAGATCACTAGATTATAAGCTCTTTTACCTCAGTAACTATCTTTTTTTTTTTTTTTTTGGGTGAGGCAATGGGGGTTAAGTGACTTGCTCCAGGTCACATAGTATCAAGTATGTGAGGCTGATGTTTGAACTCGGGTCCTCCTGACTCCTAAGCCAAAGCTCCATCCACCAAGCCATTTAGCTGCCCCAGGCAGGAACTGTCTTTTGCCCCTTTTTGTATCCCTAACACTTAGCACAGTGCCTGGCATATATTGACTGACTGACTGAAAGAGGCTAGGTTATGTATTTATATGGAGTTAAATTTCAGAACTCCCTCATGCCACCTGTATTTCAGTACTTCTGTGATTATCTATTTTCCATTTTTGTTACTATGAATGGTTAATTCTTGCCATTTCTTCCTCCTTCTGTCCACATTTCCCTAAAGCACCAAGCTGTAAAGTGTGTTAAATGGGTACCGTGGTGTTTCTGGGACCAGTTGCCAAATTATGAAGTAATCACTTGGAATTATCTTTCAATTACTTTTGGCAAGGAGCTTTGGGGGGAGGGGAGAGAAGTAGGAAAGAAGGAATAAATACAAGTTACTGTGACTCAGAGCTGTGTAAGTTTTTAGTTTAGACAATTTTGGTCGTGACTACTTGTCTCCTGATTCTGTTTTTACCCAATTGGTTTTTCCTTTCCAGCCTCTGTTTCAGGTTCATCAACGGCATCATTGTTGTTGTTTATTTTTCATTCTTGAAAAGGACCATGACATCGGGAAATGATGCCATGACATGCAAGTGAATTGGATTTAAGTGAGGGAGGCCTGTGCAAAGTTACCAGTCTCACTTTCTCCTGCAGAACCATCTGGGTCCAGCGGCAAGATATAGATCAGAACAACTGGAGATGGCCCTGGATGCAGTGGGAGTCCTTGGCCTTTCTAATTTAAAGTCTTTAACAAGTCTCAGTTTGACTGAGGCAAAGCCCATTCAGTGATTAAGGCTAGGTAAGAAATGAGGCAGAGAATGGCCTCTTTCACCTAGTGGATAAAAAAAAAAGTAACAGGACTAGAGTGTGCTGGAACTGGAGTCAGGAAAACCAGAGTTCAAATCCACTTACCAGTTATGTGAGCCTGGGCAAATCATTTAATCTTTACCTCAGTTTCCTCAACTCTAAAATGGGATAATAATAGCACCTACCTCCCAGAGTTGTTATGAGAAGGAAATAGTGTTTATAAAACTTTCTAAACCTTAAAGAGCTATTTTTTAATAAATAAAATAGCCAACATTTACATAGTGTTTATTGTATTTGAGGGCAGCTAGGTTTGAGATGGATAAAGCATTAGGCTTGGAATGAGGAAGACTTAAGTTCATATGTGACCTTAGATATTAGCCACGTGACCCTGGGTGAATAGCTTAACCCTGCTTGTCAGTTTTCTCATCTGTAAAATGAGCTGGAGAAGGAAATGGCAAACCACTTCAGTATCTTTGCCAAGAAAACCCCAAATGGAGTCACAAAAAGTCTGAAATGACTGAACAACAACTACCATATGTCAGGCACTTTACAGATGAGGAAACTGAAGCAAATGGCATATAAGTGACTTGCCCAGGTTTACGCAACTCATAAGTGTGTAAGGCCAGATTTGAACTTAGGTTCTCTTGATTCCAGGCCTAAGAATCTGTTTACTAGGCCAAGCAGCTATTATTGCTGTTATAGCTCATATGCTCAGTATACCTCAAGGCCCTTTTCTGTGAGCAGGTTGTTTTCTCAAGCAGGATGTAAGAAGCTCCTTCAGAGCAGGGATCGTTTCATTTTTGTCCTTGTGTCCCCTGAATCTAATTCAGTCTTTGACACATATTAGACCCTTAATAACTGCTTATTGAATTGAATTGAATCCCACAATTCTTAGCCAACTCACTTGGGAAAATACATTCTCCCCCCACCCCACCCCCCCCACATTTACTTAAAGATAAAAAAAACTGATTTTCAAATCAAACTTTTATTAAGTAGGCCCTGAGAACACAAAGACAAAAACACAGTTCCCTCCCTCCAAGGAACTTTTGGTTACTAGGAAACACATGCCCAGAAACAGACAGATAGATAGATAAACAAATAGATAAGTGAATGGATGAAAAGAAAGAAGAAAGGAAGGAAGGAGGGAAGGAAGAGAAATGAAGAAGAAAGAAAGGAATGAAGGAAGAAAGGAAAGGAAGGAGGAAGGAAGGAAGGAAGGAAGGAAAGAAGAAAGGAAAGAAGGAAGGAAGGAAGGAAAGAAGGAAGGAAGGAAAGAAGGAAGGAAGGAAAGTCATTTGAGGAAGAGCCATTAGGCCCCGGTCAGATCAGGGTAAGCTGCCTTGAGAAGTGGTACTTGAGTTGAGCCTGGAAGGATTGTGAAAAGTGAGGAGATGGAAAAGGAGCAGATGCCAGGCCGGAGGGAAGGCTAGTGCTACTGGGAGGTAGTTGTACTGCTTAGTTTGGGGACACTTGTAGGTCGGTTTGGCAGTCAATTGCAGTGTGTGAAGAAGGATGGAAGATAACTTGGTGTCAGATTGTAGAGAGCTTTCAAAAAATAGGCTTAGCAATTTATTTTTCCTTCTCCCCCAAATTATCCTTCTGTAATAACCCTTGAAAAGGTCTTATCTTGATTTCCCAAGAAACTTGTTTGTTCGGACTTACTGAATCCTAATTCTGTTTGGCTAGGAAGCTTTGTGTCTGATGCAAAAACTACCACGGTCACACCCACGAGCCCCAGTTATTGTTATCATTTGGGTTCTTGTAGCCCAGCTGGCCAGTCCCGGTGGCTTTCTCCGTGGAATTAAAGCATGATCGGAATGTGCCACAGAGAGACACCACGAGGCACTTGGAGGCATCATTACCAACTCCCGGGGAAGGGACAACACGCAGCCCATTCATCTCTGCAGGTCAGGAGGGGTGACAGGTTGCTGCTGCTCGCTTCCTTGGAGCTTCTCATCTTCACTGTCCCGGGCGCTGGGCCGGGTGACCGTACCTGGCATCGCTTTTCCTCCGGGTCTTATTTCTTTCATGCTCTACTTTATCAGTTTTAGGCTCGGGTTTGGTGCTGCGCTTTCGGTGTTTTAACGTGTAGACTAGAAGAGGAGAACCAAAGGAGTACAAAACAAACCCTGCAGCGTTTGTAATACGTTCCAAACTCCTCCTCCCCCTGAGGACCGGGAGGAATTCCTGGCACTCGAAGCAGCAGTTTTTTTTTTTTTTCCAAAGGGGGAAAAAAAACAAAACTATATTTTCCCCTCCCTACCGAGGCTCCCGCCCACCCTTACTCCACCCCCATACGACGCACAGTCTGCCCCAGCGGGAGCCAAGGAAATGGGCAGAACCTGGAGCCCTCTCCTAGGGGTGGAGGTCTAAGGAAGGTAGAAAGAAAAAAGGAGGATTTGCAATATCTTGCGAAGTCAGGCGGGTGGCAGGCGCGCCTCCCACCCAAGCCCGGTTACTTCCGAGATTTCAAAAAAGAAAAAGAGAAGCAGTCTATGCAGTGGGGTGGGGTAGGGTTGTTTCGGTCCTCCGGCTCTTCTTCCTGGCTTGGTGGCCCAATCGCCATCTCGACGAAGAGGAACGGGACGGGGAGAAGAAGGCTCCGGACAGGCGCGGGAGGGACGTGGTCTTAGGGGAAGGCTGTAGCTTAACCAGTGCGTGCATCAGCCAGGAGGGCGGTAGCAGCATCAGCCCACTAGCCCACAGGAGGAGGAGGAGGAGGAGGAAAAGGAAAAGGAGGAGTGTGTTCTCATTTCACCCCCAGTTTGGCATTTCCCGCGGAGTCGAGGTAGACAAGGGGACTCGGGCTTTGCACAGGCTTCTCCCACCCACCACGCAGTCGGGGGAGAGAGAAGTTCGGCTAGACTTGTTCAGTTGCTCCAGCTTGCCTCTCCTGGGAGTGCGGGGGTGGGACGGCGGGGCGATCCCTCCCTAGGAGTCGCGGGGCGAAGGGGCGGAGGCCACGGCGGCAGCTGCTGCCTCCCCGAGCCCAAAGATTTACCCTCGGGAAACTCCTCTACTTAAGCGGAGACGGGGGCCGAGGGGGGAATCCCGGCACCCCGGATATAGTGCCACCTCGGCATTTGGAGAAACAGGGCGAGTGGGCGTCAACTGCAGAGGCGAGTCTGGGGCCAGAGGTGACCCTTGCACCCCGGAGTTGACTTTCCCCGAGGCCGAACAAGAGCGGGTGGGCAGTTTGCAGAGCCTTGCAGGCTGTCTAGCCTCCCAAAAGCCACTTCCTCTAGGGCCTGGGGGCCGGGTCCCGTCTGCCAGCAGAGAAGAGGGGGAAGGGCTGCCCTCACACCCGGCAACGTAGACGTAGACAACAGCAACCCGTGATGAAAAGTTTCCTTAAAAGCCAGAGTCTTTGAGCGAGCACAGAAGGAAGCAAACGCTGTTTCGCCTGTTGGGAGCCTGGGAGCCCCGAACCTGGGACCCAGCTCGCGGCTTAGCGCCCTCAAGCAAGCCCACTCCTCATCCCCTTCTGTTTCTCCTGCTCCCGGGGCGCGGCTAGACGGGGCGCCCTCCCGCGTCCGGGGCATGTGTGGCCTCCGCGGGCATGGCATCTGCGGTATTTGAGGGCACGTCGCTGGTGAATATGTTCGTGAGGGGCTGCTGGGTGAATGGCATCAGGAGACTGATCATCAACAGACGGGGCGACGAGGAGGAGTTCTTCGAGATCCGCACTGAGTGGTCTGACCGCAACGTGTTGTACTTGCACCGAAGCTACTCAGACCTGGGACGCCTCTTCCAGCGGCTCCGAGACTCTTTCCCCGAGGACCGACCCGAGCTGTCACGATCCCCGCTCCTGCAAGGTTGGTTGGAGACATCTCCCTTTCTCCCCTTTTCTGCCCTCGTCTGTGACTTGTCCACTTGACATACTTGGGAGGAGGGAGAAGGGAAGAGGGAAAAGCGATTTGGAAGGAGTGTTTATTAAGTGAAGCGCTTGAGAGATCGTTTTGAAAAATGTAATGAAGTGCCTGGAACACTGAAGGCGCTTAATAAATGCTTATTGACTGACCGTAGCCTGAAGTAAGGGGTGAGAAGGGGAAGAGGAAAGGTGAGGAAGTTAATGAAGTCGTAAATATTGCGTCTCTTCCTCCCTTGCTAAGGTGCCAAGAAAAGAAAAAAATAGAAAACGCCCGTTTCACGCTGCGCTACATCTATTGGGGTTGGCCTCATGCAGCTGGGGGTGGGGGGGGGAGGCAAGAAAGAAATGAAGGCTACCTGCTATTAATTAGTTGGAACTTGGAAGTGAACTTGGCCATACGTTGTCGTCACCGCTCTTCTCCTTAATATAGACTTATTATACTAGGGGATGTAGAACTGGAAGGGTCCTCAGAAGCCATGAAGTCCAGTCACTTAATTTTACAAATAAGGAAACTGAGGCCAAGAGGTTGTAACTTGCCTAAGGTCTCACAGATTGTTACAGTCAGAGTCAGGAAAGGGGACTGAGGAAAGTCCTGGGAGAAGAAAGTTAACGGTTTAAATGATAAGGAAAAGTTGAGATTTTCCCAAGAAACAGAGCATGACGATTAGATAACACGGTTCTATTTGTTGATTACTTCGTGACACAGGTTGGAGATTTGTTTATTTTAAGGTAGTGAGGGGAATGCAAGACATTTGCACCTAATTCTTATCCAAAGACAAGAACCCACCAAATCTAACATTTATTAAGCACCTACAATAAAGCATCACGTTCAACCCATGGTAGGTGTTTAATAAATATTTGCGGACAGAGCTGTCATGGTGAAGCAAGCATCGGTTCCTGTCCTCTGAAACAATGATTTTATTTACTCTGTCCCTCCATCCCCCCCCCTCGGCCCCCGCCCCCCACATGCAGCCCTATTAGGGAGGAGGGAGGAAGAATTAGGGGTTCTTGCTGAAGAAAACGAGTACATTGTTTCAGAAACGGCGGATTGACTACTGGCCAGGAGGGAGGTGAGGTGGCCCGGATCTGTTTTCTGTGGATCTCCAGGCTCCGAGTAGGAGATAATGAGGACAAGATAAATACTGTAAAGTTATCTGTAGGAATCTGTCATCTGTTCTGCTGCGTTACCGGAATAATTCCCCAGAGAGGCTTGGTTTATTGGCATCGGACTTTGGCTTCTCTCGATCAATCGATGACAAAACTCGTGATGCAAGATGCCACGCTGTCCTTTAGTAATTCAGCCCTGTGGGAGAGGGAGTAGAGGGAGGAGGGTTGGCTTCGTGTAGTAGCATATGTCCTGGCCCCAGCTCCTTGTCAAAACATGTGGATTTTATTAACTACTGCCACCTCCTTCTCTTGGACCCGTGACTGATGATCCTGGCTCCCCGGGAAGAGTTCTTGTCCTTAGAAAAATAGTTATTTTTCTTCCTAACCACCTAATCTGCGCCCCTTCCCACACTGCCCTTTGGGGTCAGAAGAGACTAGGTAGAAGAGAAGGAAGGGAGGATGGAGAAAAAGGGCAGGAGAGAGAAGAGAGAGATAGGAAGAAGGGAAAAATGGAGGAAATATGGAAGAGGAAAAGGAGGAGGGAAGCTGAGAAAAATGAAGAGAGAGAGTGGGGAGGAGAAGACTGGAATGGAAAGAAGGGAAGACAGGAAAGAGAGAAAGGAGACTGGAAAGAAGGCAAGGAGGGAATGGGGAAGGGGTATTAAAGGAGAGAGGAAAGAAAAGAGAGAAAGCAATGAAGCAGAAACGGAAACCAACCCTCGGATAGCCAGAGGGGATGACTTTTTGTAGCCAAGGGAATGGGAGCCTTATCACCTGCAAGAATCAGTGAAGTGGGGGAGGGTATCCCCAATCTTCTCTTGCTCTCCCTGCAAGAGAGAACACTATAGCAGATAGCATTTATATAGCACCTATTATGTGTCAGGCACCGTGCTAAGCACTTTACAACTGCTATGAAATTTTGATCTTAAAACAATGTTCTGAATAATATTTAACTTGAAGGACTCAGGCACATGTGACAAGGGAAAGTGAATTTGATGCAGCACATCAGTCTCTTGGGACAAACTCTTAATTTTCCTTTTCTGATATGGAGTGGTTTTGTTTGTTTGTTTGGTTTAAGTTATCCAGATAATTGAGGCAGCTAGGTGGTATGCCGGATAGAGCAAGGCAGACACTAACTAGCTGTTCCACCTTGGGCAAGTCACCTAACCTCTGTTTGCCTCAGTTTTCTCATCTGTAAAATGGAGAGAATAGTAGCACCTACCTACCAGGGCTGTTGTGAGTTTCAAAGGAGGTAATATTTGTAAAGCACCTGGAGCTATATAAAAGCCATTATTATTATTAGTCTTAGTTCAGAGATTTACTCTGACTTTATAGATACATCCTGACAAATGAAATCATTTGGGAGGGACTTCACAATCACCCCAGCAAGCTTCAGTTGCCTTGATTGTCTAAGCCTGGGACTCTAATCTGCTCTATCTATTTATGAAAGTTCTGGGGATAGTTTTGGATTATATCTTGATAATTTTTCTTGGCCTTCCTTTTTGGGTATATTTCCTTTTTTAACTTTGTAAATTAATGTCAAAGTGAGGAAATTTCAGATGAAGGAAAAATCTGATGATAGCAGATCACTGTTATGAAGAGTTCCAAGAGAATGGAACTTTTGAGCCTACTTCTGATTTTGAGCTTCAGAGGACAGTGAACAAAAACCATAACTGAAAGATAAACACGCTCACCTCTAACTACCACAATTTGGCTGGCAAGATGTGTTGCCTCATCAACCTTGGTTTGTAATAGTAAGCAGCATTTATATAGTTCCCACTATGTGCCAGGTGCTTTGTAAAGATTATTTCCTTTAATCCTCACAACAGCCCTTGAGAGATAGGTGCTATTCTTATTTTCCCCATTTTACAGCTGAGGAAATTGACACCAAGTAACTTGCCCATGACCATAGAGTTGGAGTCTTCCAGACTCCAGGCCCAGCACTCTATCCACTGCACCATCTACCCAGGCACCTTTTTCCAGAACAGAAGAGATATAGTAGTAAGGATGTCAGATTTGTCATTCATATGCCCTTGACCCTGCTGCCTTCAGGAAGTGTCTGGCCTGACAGATGCTGCTGCCTGTGTTTGCCTGTGTTATGTCCACAGTCAATCCTTTCCATGAAGACTATTAAAGAAAAGCAACCTGATAATAATCTCTTTGAGGGCAGCACTTCCTTATTTCTTGTTGTATCTTTGACTCCCAACACACTGCCCAGCATGTAGATCACATGAGATAATAAATATATTATCTTTACAATCTATATATTTATAAAGTCTCTCCATATGTGTGCTCACTGTTATTATTATTACTATTATTATTAGATGCTTAATAAATACTTGTCAACTGATCGGTAAGTCTTTATCCCAGAGTCCTTAAAGAATTGTGATCCTTATTGTAAAATAAAGAAAAGGGGCAGCTAGGTGGCACAATGGATGTCAGGAGGACCTGAGTTCAAATTTGACCTTGGTAGCTGTATGACCCTGGGCAAGTCATTTAACCTCTGTTGCCTCCCCTCCACCCCAAAAAAGAGGAAAAGATATTTTCCTCTATTTTAATCCTTTAAATTAGTGAGGAACAATGTCAAAATATAGGGAAAAGATTTTATTTTCTTTCTTTGATCCAGTGCTTCAAGAACTTTCATTTCATCAGTACAGGTACCCTTGCTACAGCAGAGACTCAGTAGACAATCTGATGGGTGGTGGGCCTCTCCTAGCTTTAGCTAGGCTGATCCTTAGCTAACCAACATACATACATTCAGTCTATTGCTGGGCAGCTTTTCAAGTGTGGTAGGACCCACTTCAGCTGCGCTCTGTCAGAGAGCCCAGGGTCACCTCAAAGCTACAAACAAGGCAAAGGGGAAAGGGAATAAAAATTGTGTATGTGAAAAGAAAGATTTCACTTCCTTTGTATATAACTTAATCTTTACTTAACAAGGTCTAGATATAGACTTGACTTGAAGGAACTTCTGATAGAAACTAGTTCGGCCCCCAATTTTACAAATGAGTAGACTGAGGCCTAGGGAAGCTGTGTGCTAACAAAGCTAGTTAGTTATTGGCAGTTAAAGTTTCTGATTCAGGGCTCTTTGTTCTGTGTAACATTGACTGTCAATCCAAACTGTAACACACAAAAGATGTATGTGTTGTAATGAAAATTCATATTTGTTTTCAGTACTGTTTTTCATAAGGCTCCATTGGCTTAAATTTATTGAAATAATTTCTGTACTGTGTTTATATTTGCCCTCTAGTATAATGAAAAATCTTCAAAGCTTTAAGAGAAAAAATGCTGGTTGGTTTCAGAATTGAAATTGGCAGTAAGCTGTAAGCTCCTAGAGATGTGTGATTGAACACCCTCAGAGCAGTGTGATCACCTTGGCTCCTCTACACATTTTAAAATTTACATATAATTAAAGGGCTGTGGAGTCTAATTCAGTCCCCTGCAGTACTAGAGCTGAGCATGGGAGAGAATGTTTACATGGGAACTGGAAGAGAATGCTGTCTATCCCATTGTCTACACTCTATGGAGTTATTCTTGGCTGCCATGATATGCCATGATGTCTGGAACAGAGTACAAAGGCATATAAAAAATTCACAAGACCCAGGGTGGCCATAGATATAGGTATTGACAGAGGACTTAGGAACCCATACTCTTTGGGGGTGCAATTACTGCACAAAGTATTACCACTTGGGGAGAACCATGTGACTAGACTCTTTGACCTCATGGCCTCTTTCTGAGTTTTTGGTATTGTTCTCTTTTTCTCCATTTTTTGATCTGGTGTCTTATTCAGTCATTCTAGTTGTCCCTCCTAACTCATCTCTGTTATCTATGCTAGGAAAC